AGCACACAAATAAATACCTTCATGACGCGTCGAGTATCTAATATTTTTGAGTAGCATCTTTTACGTCGTGTGACCGCTAACGCACTACCGAAAGCTTTGAGAGTGGCGCAGAGTGTGTGTGTTACGTCGTGAATAAATCAACAGTGCGGTCCCGATTTGCTGACTTGACAAGCCTGCTGCGGATGTTGTTATGGGACCTTGCCTGCGGCGTTCGAAATATTGAACTCAATACACGTGAGAGAAGACCGAAAGCAACTTTGTAACATATTATTCACATGATTTGCAAGGCAGGCGAAATGTGAGAGGTTACACCATGAGCACTAAAATGTTTCACATCTAGCCGTGAATTTCTTCGCTGTAAGAACTACATTTTGGCACTAGGATTGTTGAATACACACCGTCCAAAGAGCACTGAGTGACACTATTTCCCACAGCATAATGATGAAGACTAGTGATCAACAATTCCTAGAGCAAAAGTGATGCTTGGCTTTCATGACAATATTGCCAGATATCTGCTGACCATGTCGTAAACAAGCTGCTCCATGCAGGCAAGCATTACCATGCCGTAGATACTTGTGTTTCGATATATACTGATTAATACTGTCGATAGATACCGTCCATCAGTATTTCATCGAAAAACAAGTATCTACGTCATAGAAATGGACAGTCGAACTACAATGAGGGTCACGTCAGGCAAATTGGAAAATGGCGTGCGTACCGAACACGGTCCCAGTGCGCAGGCGCGAAAAGCCCAACGGTCCGTTAGACGTGGATCCCCATCAACGATAAGTGTGCTGTCATGGCGCCGTGTCAATCAGGCTGAGGTGGCTGAGACGGCGGAGACATTGGTTGCACGCGTAATAACGCGAGCCGGGACATCGTCATGGCTGCTCGTAAACAGGATGCAATGGGAATTACGACAATGTTAGGGCTTCGGAGCAAGGGCGTTGCTTGCATCTTATGACACGCTGATCATGAGGTAATGAACGCACACCACATGCGTACTGCCGTCTGACGAGCTGCGGTGCGTCAAACGGAGCATCGGACGTCTCGGATGAGCATGACACATGTCTACGGTCAGGGTCGACTGTCACTAACCTGACACCCGTGGTTGGGAAGAGTATTGCCTGACCTGACACCCATAGTCGGGTGGCCCGTTGCCTGACCTGACACCCACAGTCGGGTGGACCGTCGCCCGACCTGACATCCATAGTCGGGTGGACCGTCGCCAGACCTGGCACCCGTGGTCGGGTGGGCCGTTGCCTGACTTGACATCCGTGGTCGGGTGGACCGTTGCTTGACCTGACACCCGCGGTCGGGTGGACCGTCGCCTGACCTGACACCCGTAGTCGGGTGGACCGTCGCCTGACCTGACACCCGTGGTCGGGTGGACCGTCGCCTGACCTGACACCCGTGGTCGGGTGGACCGTCGCCTGACCTGACACCTGTAGTCGGGTGGACCGTCACCTGACCTGACACCTGTAGTCGGGTGGACCGTCACCTGACCTGACACCCGTTCACAACATGGGTGCCGGCTGACGTGACCGCCGACGCGACCGAAACGACGGTGGTGGTCAAGTGAGTCGTCGGTCCACCTACCACCGGCGGGACGGACCGCTAGCTGACCTGACACTGCTGCCTGCGGGCCTGTCAGTCGCCACGCCGCCGCTGGGTCCGTCTGGCCTGACCTCAGGTCAGCTGGCGGCCGCGGTGGTGGGAGCCGACCGGCGCTGGAGCGGCCAACTGGCGGGGGCCCGGCCTGACCCGGGCGCCGTTTGTTGGCCGCGCTCTGTTGATGCGTAGTCATAGAACCATCGATTCTCGCCACCACGTGACACAGGCCTCGCAGCCGACAAACACACACACACAGCATATGCCGACACACACACACACACTCACACACACACATACACTTACACACACAAGACCGAGCTGACGGCTGGTCGATGCAGCGCGACCGCAGCGGCGGGCCAGCGAAATTCTGATAAACTACGCTGACCGAAATGCTGTAGATAAGGGTTTTGAGTCGACTTATTACCGTTTGATTGGGCGCAGGAAATATATAGCTCGTTGATAAGTTAGCTAAAAACGCGAATAGCACTAAGCCCGGTACCTGCTATATGATTACACAATTCAGTAGCAAATGGCAAAAGAGTTTGGTGAGTAACTGCATTTACCTGCATAACCTTCGTGCGCTATATGACTTGAAACATCACTTGCAAATTTATTGGCGAATAGCCTGGTCACGCCTGACTGCTTTGGCGAAAGGATTCGGCGAAGTGACGTTGATTGACATGTG